ATATCCCCCACACCACGTGTGGACTTCCCCGTGTCTCCTTATCCCTTACATGAGGTCAAACTCACAAGTATGAAATACTAGCTCCAGGAGCGTAGTCTCCCAACTCTGTGAACCTGTTTTAAAAGTCGAATTTTGCACCTTTTTATCTCACCATATACATATAAGGCCAAAGACTTTTTTGTGCTCACTGTTGTTTCTCCAGAATAGAAAAAGCCTGACACAGGCAGGTGCTCATTAAATTCTAGTTGAATGAATGTATTGCTGATTAGCAACCTTGTAGGCACAAGATAGCCTCAGTCACTGAGTGCTTCCCACCTTCTGCATTACACATTTCATCACAGATTCTTTTTGAATTCTATGGGGAGTAGATATAATACTGATGACAACAATTATATAAAGCTTTATAGTTTCCAAAGTATTTTCACATGTCTTTTCATATATGAACTTGGTAATAGCTCCCCGGGTTTAGATGAGGCACATATTAATCCTTCACTAGCTCTAGAAAAGTCTGTCTTTTCTAAAGGTAGCCAAGTATTGGGAGGACAAAGCCAGTAAATCTGTTTGGGATTCTTTCAACAAACCCTGAAAGGGGATGAGATCTGGGTAAGCCTCCAATGACTGTAGGAAAATAAAGGAGAAATCGTTTAAAAAAAAAGAAAAGAAAAGAAAGAGCTGGGCAGAAAAGCCTGATTTCTTTTAAGTGGAAAGGCAGAAGTCCTCCCCAGCATCTGCTGGGATTTGGGAGTCTTTTGAGATCTGAACTTCAGACCTCAGAAGTGTACTATGGGTCAATGAGGACATGTTCTATTTGAAGCCTAAATTTGATTGTAGAAAAGGTGGTTTTAGGAAATATCCAAAAATTCTTTGATAATCTTCCTTTCAACAAATGGAAGCTAGGGAATTCCCTGGCGGTCCAGTGATTAGGAGTCCTCACTTTCACTGATGAGGGCGCGGGTTCGATCCCTGGTTGGGAAAATAAGATCCCACACTGCACAGCGCGGCCAAGAAAAAAAAAAGGAACCTAATTCTCCCCTTGAATGTGAGCTGGATTTAGAGACTGGTGTGGCCAAGAAAAAAAAAAAAAGGAACCTAATTCTCCCCTTGAATGTGAGCTGGATTTAGAGACTGGTGTGGCATAAAGGCAGTGACAATGAGTACTTTGGAGGCTAAGTCATAAAAGGTGCTGTGTTTCCTGCTTGCTCTCTCTCAGGTCACTTGCTGGGGATGGGGTGCGGGAACCCCAGCCGCCATGTTGAGAAGATATTCAGGCAGCCCTGTGGAGACACCGGCACGATAAGAAGCTGATGCATTCTCCAACAGTCAGTGGGCAACTACCAACAGCCGTGTGAGTGAGCCATCTCAGGCCCAGTCAAACCTCATGTAACTGAAGCCTCTGCTGACAGCTTGACTTTTCACTTCTTGGTAGACCCTGAACCTGAACCACCCAGCTAAACTACTCTCTGATTCCTGACCTTCAGAAACTGTGTGAGATAATACATTTGTTGTTTTAAGCTACTAACTTTTCTGGTAATTCACTACACAATAATAAATAACAGATGCAAGAGAAAAAACAAGAAAGTTAGGAGTTATCTGACAGACTTCACTGGTCTAATACAAGGGAATAAATAAAATATAGTGGGCACATAAAAAGAAATTCTTCCTTCTGAGATCAAGAAACGAATAAATGGCAAAAATAAGAGCTGAACCCAAGAATCAGTTCATACCTGGGCACACCTGTGCCAGGATCTCCAACAGCATTTTCTAGCTTTATTTTAAAAAACAAACAACAACAAAAAAACAAGCAAATCCAGAATAACCACCAAAACCAAAGGCAAAAAAACCTGAGTACTATTTTAAAGCATGACTTGCAGAGTACCAGTGTCTTAGTCTGCTCAGGCTGCTGTAACAGAATACCATAGACTAGGTGTCTTATAAACAATAGAAATGTATTTCTCACAGTTCCAGAGACTGGGGAGTCCAAGATCAAAGTGCTGTCAGATTCAGTGTCTGGTAAGAGGCTACTTCCTAATTCATAGATGGCTATTTTCTCAGTGTGGAAGAGACAATGGGGTCTCTTTTATAGAGGCACTAATCGTATTCATGAGGGCCCTCCACTTATGACCTAAGCACCTCCCAATAACCCTACCTCCAAATACCCAATACTCTCACATTAGAGATTAGGTTTCAATATATGAATTCTGGGGGAACAGAAACATTCAGTCTATAGAAACCAGTCTGTTTTTAAAGATTTGAAGCTTAGGAACTGTGTTCTTAACCTCTGTCCCTGTTGTAAACCCAAGAGGGAGAGGCAGTGGAGGACCCCTACCCCAAGGGACCCACACCTTCATTTTGATTCTTGTTTTCTCAGTATCCAACCCTGCAGATGCTAGTAAGTTGAAGTGAATAAAAGGGAATCAGAGTTTCTGGCAGCTATTGTTTGATACATTTCAGGCATGATAACTAGCTAAATTAGGAGACACTCAGAAGGGACTATAAAGACCATGGTATTATAAAATTTCGGAAACAAGGTAGGACATTATATAAAACAAGGAGGGAGTGTTAGGCATGAAAAGCTGTGTATAGTAGAGAATACATATAGGATTTTTTTGGGTTTTTTTTTTTTTTTTTTTTGCGGTACGCGGGCCTCTCACTGTTGTCGCCTCTCCCATTGCGGAGCACAGGCTCCGAACGCGCAGGCTCAGCGGCCATGACTCACGGGCCCAGCCGCTCCGCGGCATGTGGGATCTTCCCGGACCGGGGCACGAACCCGTGTCCCTTGCATCGGCAGGCGGACTCTCAACCACTACGCCACCAGGGAAGCCCTACATTTAGGTTTTGAGAGAGTTTCAGGAGAAAGTAAGGGGTTTCTTAAAGGGTCTTGCAAATCAGACTTCAAGCCATGAGCAGACAAGAACAGGGCAGAGTGAACTTCAAGAAAGAGAGTGTGAAGAATTCCCTGGTGGTCCAGTGATTAGTACTCAGTGTTTTCACAGCTGTGGCCCGGGTTCGATTCCCTGGTCGGGGAACTAAGACCCTGCAAGACTCGTGGCACTGCCAAAAGTAAATAAATAAATAAAAAGAAGGTGTAGTAAGATGAAGAGAGGAAGAGGCCAGGAAGGGCAGTAGATTCTGCATCTTCAAATTTTTTAAATTGGTCTTGATAGCGCATGGAGGCATAAATGCTTAAGGAAACTTTAAAGATGAAAGCAAGGATGGTGATTGCTCTGAGGTAGGACCAAGAAAGAAGGGAAACTTTATGCTTCCATTAAGGTTCTGCCTTGGTAAAAGGCCAATCTATGTGGAGAAATAAGACTGTATGGAATAGAAGGAAAGATTTGAGAGGTTAAGTTCGTGGAGTTGAAAAGACTCCAAATGGCTAGTGGTGTTTTGGATTAGTGTGTGTGTGTTTGGGGACAGGAGAAATGAGAATTAGGAAAAGTACTAGTTACTAGTCAGTAAACTAATTTTGAACGAAGAACAATTAAAAAACAATAAAAGAGAAAAAATTAAAAACAAAAAAGAAAAGTAAGAGTTATAAATACAACCTACCAGCTAATTCCAAAGGTTTAACCAAAACAGAGAAAACAAAATCAAGTGTCAAGAAAATAAACGTGTGGCACATCAAATTGAAAATACAGTAATTATGAAAAGGATTGAGCCCAACACTTGGAACTAAGAACATTAAGAACTGTCAACCAGACAAGTGTGAATCAGTAGCAACCCTCAGAACATTGGAAAGGCAAGTATACCTACCTCATTTATTCATCTGATTGAAGGGGAAAGGAATTCTATGGACTGTAAAGCATTGCCAACATTTCTCTCAGAAAAGAATATCTCTCCTAATGTGAGAAACAAACAACTCCTAAATATTTATCCCAATTATTCAACAAGAATTTATCAGGCAATATCATTATTACTTGCTGAGAAAGACAAAAAGGAAGCATTTGAACAGTACTTAATTTAAATAAGATATTCTCAGACTCAATTTTTTTTATTTGATTTACAATTTTATGTAAGTTTCAGGTGTACAACAAGGTGACTCAAATATACCTATGTATCTATGTACATACAGATATCTTTTTCAGATTCTTTTCCATTATAGGTTATTAAAAGACTCAAACTTTTTAAGCTGAGAAATCTGCAGTCAGTTTATTTCCTCCATGAAGGTGGGAGAAGAGACTTAAATTATTTTAACAGAGAATCACACCTTTGGGACACATAGATGTGAATATAAATATTTCCAGGGCAAAGCACTGGCAAGGCAACTGTATTTGTAAATTAAAGGCATGGAGTTTTGGGGTGCACTTGATTTCTCAGTTCAAAGGAGAAGCGAGGGGGGGAGGGGGCAGGGCGGTAATCCCTGAGAGGCATTTTTACTTGTTCATGGACTCACCAAAGGAAACTACAGGTAAAAGATTACCTTCCTCAGCTTCCTGAAGTGTTTCTAAGTGAGCTGAAGAAAATTTGAAAAAGCCAATACTACCCCGCAAAATGTGGCAGCCAGTGAGGGAAGGGAAAGTAAGGTGATAGGATGAGTAAGGAAAAGGGGAGAGCACCGACGCTGAGAACGACGAAAAACCCCACCTGGAAGCTAGCTATAATCAGGCGGCCAGCCACGAGGTTTCACAAAAGCTCCCAAATGCCTACAATCATCGCTCTTGAGATGCGCCATTCATTCCAGCAGCCACAAGTCGCTAAGAGATGGCAGAAAACAAAACAAAACAAAACAAAACGGACGGCAAGCCCTGACCAAACCAAAAGAAAGGTCTTCCAGGGGCGGGCGAGCACAACACAATGTAGGAGTTAGGCTGAGGGACCTTTATTAGGCGCCGGTTCGACCAAGTAGTTTCAGTTTGCTGAAAACGTGGGCGGGGCTTCGGGTCTGGAACCTCCCTGAAGAGACGCAGATGGCTTGAACGGTTCCCAACCAGGTCCGATATACTACTATATAAAACACCGCCTTTGCGAACTGGAGTATAGTATTTTACCTAGTTAGTAAGATGTCCGGTCGCGGAAAGGGTGGAAAGGGCCTGGGGAAAGGAGGTGCGAAGCGCCACCGCAAGGTTCTGCGTGATAACATCCAGGGGATTACCAAGCCAGCTATCCGCCGCCTAGCTCGGCGTGGCGGGGTGAAGCGCATCTCCGGCCTCATCTATGAGGAGACCCGTGGGGTGCTGAAGGTGTTTCTGGAGAACGTGATTCGGGATGCCGTTACATACACTGAGCACGCTAAGCGCAAGACTGTCACTGCTATGGACGTGGTCTACGCGCTCAAGCGCCAGGGACGCACTCTGTACGGCTTTGGCGGTTAGAGTTGTCCCAAAGCATCATAACGTCGCTTAAAGGCCCTTTTTAGGGCCACCCACGAAATCTGTTAAAAAGCTGTAGGCATTAAGGCGCATTTTAAGTATTTTGGAGTAGTTGTGTTGGATTGGTAGGTTGGGGGGCTAAAAATTTTGAGGTTGAGCTTAAGTTGCGCGTTATCGCAGTCCCCAGGCCCTCAGCCTTTCCAACTACAGTGGCAAATTCTGTGATAACTGCGTTGCCAGTTTTTACAGGTTTAGTGTAAGCTGGGCTCATTTAACCTATGTCGACTGCGCTCGCACTCCACGTCAAGGGCAAAGTAATGCAGTATGGCGAGTAATGCCTAAAATACTGTCATACCTTTTTTGCAGAAAAAGTTGGCCGACCCTCGTTTTAATAAGCTGAGGTTCTTAAGCACGCTGAAGTTTGAGACCACGGGCATAGAACATGGCTGGATTTCGACTTTCAGTGCCTCCGTTTATCATAAGCTGGTTCCCTTTCATGTTATTCAGTATTTTTGTCAAGAACCCAATCATGACACCTTGTACTGTATTTAAAATAGTGCAAGGCACTTTGAGATTCTCTAGATAACACTTTAAGAATTTTAATGCATCCTGCACTTTTTTTTTTTTTGCGGTACGCGGGCCTCTCCCGCCGCGGAGCACAGGCTCCGGACGCGCAGGCCCAGCGGCCAAGGCCCACGGGCCCAGCCGCTCCGCGGCACGCGGGACCCTCCCGGACTGCGGCACGAACCCGCACCCCCCGCATCGGCAGGCGGACTCCCAACCACCGCGCCACCAGGGAAGCCCATCTTGCAGTCTTTTAAAGCCAAAAGATATCTCCTCTGTACATTATCCTAATGACCGAAGTAGAGGCGGGAAAACGCTTCCTTTTCTTTGAGGAATAAGCCTAGAGCCAATTCTGTGGGCGGGGAAGGGCGGGGCAGGCGAGGGAGGCAGCAGTCTATTGTCCAATCAAGACACGAGGGTCCCTATATATATTGGGACGACTGGCTCCTCTTCCTACTGTTAAAGTAATTGGCGCTATCTGTGCATTGCTCGCACTAAGCAGACCGCTCGCAAGTCCACCGGTGGTAAGGCGCCGCGTAAGCAGCTGGCCACCAAGGCGGCCCGCAAGAGCGCGCCGGCCACGGGCGGCGTGAAGAAGCCGCACCGCTATCGGCCCGGCACGGTGGCCCTGCGCGAGATCCGCCGCTACCATAAGTCCACGGAGCTGCTGATTCGCAAACTGCCGTTCCAGCGCCTGGTGCGCGAGATCGCGCAGGACTTGAAGACCGATCTGCGTTTCCAGAGCTCGGCCGTGATGGCGCTGCAGGAGGCGTGCGAGGCCTATCTGGTGGGGCTCTTCGAGGACACCAACTTGTGTGCCATCCACGCCAAGCGCGTCACCATCATGCCCAAGGACATCCAGCTCGCCCGTCGCATCCGCGGGGAAAGGGCTTAAATCTTACACCGTCTCCTATTAATATACCTCATCCGAAAAGGCTCTTTTCAGAGCTCAACTGTCACCAAAAAGGAACTGTTCATTCTAGAGGATACATGTTATCCCCAAAACAAAAATGGCAGGAGGGTTTTGATGAAATAGCTGTTGTGGGCTCAATTGTTACTGTGTCACTTTAGTGCTGAATATTTGGAGATTAAGCTTCAGATTGAGGTTACTGTATTCTGTGATCCTAGTCAGCCTATTGAGCTATTTCTGGGGAAGCATACAAAGTGATACAACCATTAAGCCTTTGGCTACACGAAGCAACTGAAGAAAAACTGGCCCATACCTTGTGAAAGTTTGTTTCTGTGGATAATTGTGTAAATGTCAAATGAAGGGTTTTTTTGTTTTTGCCAAGTACTCTAGCTCCTTGACTTCAGAAAATGTGCTTGCCTTCCTGTTGCAGAAAGAAATAGTGGTCGAGGTTCAAGCCTCACAGCTGCCAATTACTACTAGCTGTATAATCTTTGCCAAATTAGTCATCTCTCTGGGACTCACCTAGAATAGCTGTAAAATGTAGCTGACGAATTAGTTTGTAGGGCATGCTTAGATTAGTTCCTGGCAGTTAAATGCTCAATGAATGTTAGCTCTTTTTATTATGCTTCTCTCCTGTAAAGCATAACTTCCCCCAACCCTCTTCCCAAATTTTCTGAAAGTTTTGTGATTGAAAAAGTGGGAAATACTTGGTTGGAACATTTTCTTGTTAAGATCTCCTTTTCTTTAGATCTCGATTTGCATAGTTCTGAAAGGCAGGCCTGTAGCAACACACCATGAACTTGTGTCTGTGAGAAGGAATACAAAACAGCAAAAGAGCCAAATAGTAAATATTTTAGGTTTTGCAGGCAACATATAGTCTGTCACAGTATTTAAAAATACAATTTAAAAATAGAAAAACTCAGCTCGACGGCCATACAAAAATAGGCCACTGTCTAGATTTGGCCATAGTAGGCTATAGTTTCAACTCCAGGAGCTCCTGAAGAGGTGAAGTGTATTGGCCTACAGTTTTTCACAGGGGAGAACTGTTGATTACATGAGAGATCCTAATCATCACCCCATCCAGGCACAAAATCCTGTCCATGCCTCCCCCTCCCACCTCCCAATAAATAGCAAACTTCATCCTCCATTCCACTTCCTGGTCATTGCCTCAGTTCCCTTGGATGTTAATGTTTTCCTCAGTTCTCTTAAATTTCTATAACCTCCAGTCCCTTAAGAGCCAGTCCACACTTATAGTCAGTGGCCAATTATTTCACTGGAAGATACAGGTCTATCTTCACTTAAACACACAAAAATATCCACACTGATGTCCTACAAAAGAGGGTGTTTTGACCGCGTAATTTGTTAAATGTTGATGGAGGTAAGTTTGAGAGCATTGGGAAAAGCACCGTGAAAGAGGGACAAAGTCCCATGCCATCTAAACAGTTTGCGCTTTCGAGGGCTACTGGAAGCCCTTGAATAATTTTTAGCAGGTTTCAGGGTTTTTTCTAAAATACATTATCGGGGTTAAGCATTTTTCTTTGTTCTTATTTTATTGGATTCGCTTAGGAATTAAAGAGAGAAAGCATCTCTATCAAAAACAAACCAAATTTGTTTGAATGAAGGTCATTGGATCCTGTAGCCAAAGCAATTTCTATTCCTCCTGGAAGAAGTCACTTTGGCAACAGAACTTTTCCTAGGGGCAAAATCTCATTCTCTAAAGACAGTGGCACGTGGAAACTCCTTGGGAGGCAGAACCGGTTTTTAAAGTAAGGTCTATATGGTTAATTTGGGGCTGTAGGCAACAAGCTGTCCTGCGCCTGTGTTACTTGCCACAGTTTGAAACAAAGTTTATGGCAAAACCACGGAACCTAGTGTCTTTCCTCTTGCAAAAATCAAAGGCCGAACTTAGGGACAAAACCTTTTAAAAAACGTTCACTTGGTACTTAGTAAAAATTTATTGCAACATGCAACTAACTAGCTCGATGCCTTACGCCCGATGGACACATATGAAAAGCTGAAGGGATTTTAAAAAATATCTTTCATTAATTGCGCGTGATTCATAAAAACACAAACAAGTATGTGAACACCGAGGCTGTTTTCCTCCTTTGGAGCTTCAAAGAGTCAAATTCTGTACCACTGTTTTTAGCATTTAATCAAAATTTGGGACTAACAAACACAATTTGGGAGTCCAACCACGAGAGCCGGCTGCCTGAGGGCGGTGGATCGGACGCTCCACCAATCACAGGGCAGCACCGGCTTATATAAGCCCCGGGCCCGAGCAAGGTAGCATTGCAAAACTTGCTCTTTGGGTTTTGAATCTCTCTTCTTCTAGCAGTTTCTTCCATCGCCATGTCGGAAACCGCTCCTGCTGAGACGGCTGCCCCGGCGCCGGTGGAGAAATCTCCTGCCAAGAAGAAGTCTACTAAGAAGTCCGCGAGCGGTGGCGCGGCTAAGCGCAAGGCGACCGGGCCCCCAGTTTCTGAGCTGATCACTAAGGCTGTGGCCGCCTCCAAAGAGCGCAATGGCCTTTCTTTGGCAGCGCTCAAGAAGACGCTGGCAGCTGGCGGCTACGACGTGGAGAAGAACAACAGTCGAATCAAGCTGGGTCTCAAGAGCCTGGTGAGCAAGGGTACCCTTGTGCAGACCAAGGGTACGGGTGCTTCCGGCTCCTTTAAGCTCAATAGGAAGGCGCCCACTGGGGAAGCCAAGCCGAAGGCCAAGAAGGCGGGGGCTGCTAAAGCGAAAAAACCCGCAGGGGCCACCCCTAAGAAGCCCAAGAAGGCTGCGGGAGCAAAGAAAGCAGTGAAGAAGACTCCCAAGAAGGCGAAGAAGCCCGCAGCCGCTGGCGTCAAAAAGGTGGCCAAGAGTCCCAAGAAAGCCAAAGCCGCGGCAAAGCCGAAGAAGGCTGCCAAAGGCCCCGCTAAGCCTAAGGCAGTGAAGCCAAAAGCGGCGAAACCCAAAGCTGCCAAGCCTAAGGCAGCAAAACCCAAAGCTGCAAAGGCAAAGAAGGCGGCTCCCAAAAAGAAGTAGGAAGTTGGCGCTTAAGATGCAAACCCCAAAGGCTCTTTTCAGAGCCACCCAGAGATCTCTGAAAACAGCTGTGCACTGAGGAACATATATTTTATTCTTAGCCGCTCGCCAAGAAAACATTGCCCTTTACTTCCACTAAATGTTTTCACCTTTCCTCCTGCTTGGAACTCAAAGCGAAAAACATGATATTCTTTTTAAAACACAACAAAGTTAGAAAACTTGACCTGCAGCCAGTAACCTGCAAAATTGTCCACAAACATGCTAACTTTTGGTTCCTGGGTGTTTGGCTACAAAGAAGTTTTTAAAGTTAAAAAGCCCGTGTAACGTTCAGATACGTTTTTATTCCGGTTTATGCGCCACCTAATTCACTGCACACATCTATTTTTAATTTGATATTGCAGGAATCAAGGCACAGCATAATTTTAGCACTGGCAGAGGTCGAGTTACTGCAAATAAGCCGAGAAAGTGTTTTGATTGTACTTAGGGGCCCTTAAAGATACTTTGATTTTGCATCTTGACACTGCACTCACTTCCTTACCAAAGCTCTTGATATCTTCCTGACATTCCGAGGACATGACTAGGAGTCCGAAAAGTGGCTCAAACTGCTTGCCAAATTAATTACATGAAGTAATCTTTTCCCCAGGGAATAATGACAATGGAATTAAATGAAACTACTGTCCCAGCTCCTCCGCAGAAAAAGTAGGTGGCTCTGAAAAGAGCCTTTGGTTTCTAAGGTGTTGCTCTTGAGGCCTTACTTGCCCTTGGCCTTGTGGTGGCTCTCGGTCTTCTTGGGCAGCAGCACCGCCTGGATGTTGGGCAGGACGCCTCCCTGAGCGATGGTAACTTTGCCTAGAAGCTTGTTGAGCTCCTCGTCGTTGCGGATGGCCAGCTGCAGGTGGCGCGGGATGATGCGCGTCTTCTTGTTGTCGCGGGCCGCGTTGCCCGCCAGCTCCAGGATCTCGGCCGTCAGGTACTCCAGCACCGCCGCCAAGTACACTGGTGCGCCGGCCCCGACACGCTCAGCGTAGTTACCCTTGCGGAGCAGGCGGTGCACTCGGCCCACGGGGAACTGGAGTCCGGCGCGAGAAGAGCGAGTCTTGGCCTTGGCGCGAACTTTGCCGCCTTGCTTGCCACGTCCAGACATAATGCACTATTTCAAAGCTTACACCAGGAGCAACTAAGGTGAAAGAAGAAAACCGCACATTTTATAGCTGCAGCTGGGCGCGAAAAAGAAGCTATTCCATTGGGTAAAGTAGTAGTTCCGTTTTAAAAGAGACGTGGCGGTCCTTTAAATGCGCGTTCTGATTGGACAGATTGATTATGACGTCATTACCAGTGTTCGCCAATCAGACATAGAACTTTACTAAGTGTCATTTGAATATGCAGTTGTAAGTGAAACGGACTCGTCTCGCCCGTTGCTCAGTTTCTCGAGGATTTTGTTAACGCCGCGTCGTCATGCCTGAGCTTGCCAAGTCCGCTCCTGCCCCGAAGAAAGGCTCCAAGAAGGCGGTGACCAAGACTCGGAAGAAAGACGGCAAGAAGCGCAAGCGCAGCCGCAAGGAGAGCTACTCCGTATACGTGTACAAAGTGCTGAAGCAGGTCCACCCGGACACCGGCATCTCGTCCAAGGCCATGGGCATCATGAACTCGTTCGTTAACGACATCTTCGAGCGCATCGCGGGCGAGGCGTCGCGCCTGGCGCATTACAACAAGCGCTCGACTATCACCTCCAGGGAGATCCAGACGGCGTGCGCTTGCTGCTGCCCGGCGAGCTGGCCAAGCACGCCGTGTCTGAGGGCACCAAGGCTGTCACCAAGTACACCAGCTCCAAGTGAGGCACTGGCTGCAAAGCAGTTGATCGGGTTCCGTCATATCCAAAGGCTCTTTTCAGAGCCATCCACGCTTTCCAAAGAGAACTGGCACTTAGTTTAAATAGCTTTAGAGGTAGACAAAAGCAATATTAATCTGAAGCCTTTAGTAAATGCTGCTTAATTTGTGCAACAAATTAGATTTTGGGTATGTGGCATTTCAAATAAGATGATCTTGATAACAAGTTGTACATGTTACAGCCATCACCCAAAACGAATTTTATTGTGTTTATTTCACTTACCGTCCAGCTCAGGTTTACTCTGAGGATCAATCTTTAAGTTAGTGGCTAGCAAATTTCAAATGCTCTTTAACTGAACGTTTACTTATGTTACATCATTTTTCAGCAGTCATACACTTGCCATTCCATGCCCTGACCCTCACCATGCTTTATAAATATCACTCCAAAAAATGAATTAAAGGAAAACAAGCAGGTTGTGTCCCCTTTAGATTTTTCATGTAGTTTGATCCTACTGCATTCTTAAGTTTGAATGTTTCACCCCCTTTGGGAATGGCATTTCTGTTCACTATTATTTTTACATGGTCAAATTTTTTAATTGGGAAAAAGAATTTAGAGTATCAGTTTCTTTTCTGAGTCAGCTCCACATTTCATCTCACTCTTTCCTCTTTA